ACTTTTTTGTTTTTATTTGACAAACTAATATATTTTGTTTTTTTTTTCTCATTTATTCTAAAGTTATTATTTGCCATGTATTTACTTGATTTAGTCAGCAATCAATTTATATTATTTTCAATTAATTGAAGATTCCAATCTACATAGGTTATAACAATATCATCTGCATACAATATATTATTATTTTCAGGAATAGTTTCTATGATATCATTTATGTAAATATTAAAAAGTAAAGGGCCCAGAATGGATCCCTATGGAACATCTTTGTTCACTTGAAAAGGTTTAGATATTGAATTTTTTACCTTAACATAGTACATATACGATTTGATAAATAGGATATCAGCCACTCCAATGGCACTCCTCTTAATCCGACTTTAAATAATTTTTGTTTTAATATCTTGATATCTATGCTATCAAAAGCCTTAGTCAGGTCGATAAACACTGCTTTTACTATATTTGAATTATCGAGACCGTCAATAATGTATAGTTTAGGATGAGTTAATGCATCAATTGTAAAGGCCTCTCTTTTAAAACCATACTGGTTATTAGATATAATACTGTATTATATTTATTAACAAATCCAAAAAATCTTTTATAGAAAGCCATTTCAATTATTTTAGTTATACTCTGAATGATAGTCATTGGACGATAGCTCTCCAAATCCTGTTTAGATCCTTTATTTTTAAATATTGGTATTACAAGATTGTGTTTGAGCTTCTCCAGAAACCTCCCATACTCAAAGGATTTATTAATTAAATAAGATAATGGTAATATCTACTATTTGTCTTAGAATAAATATATTTAAATTATCAACAATCTGGAGTATTAGCTTTTACCCTCATAATATAATCAAAAATCTTTTTAGGAGAAGTTCCATCCAAAACAAAAGAATTGACCATACCACACAAAGAGGAATATGAGAAAGAATTAGTTTTTAATGTTGATGTGACAAAACCCCTCCCTCTGTCTATAGTGATCAGCAAAAATATTACTTATTTTTTCTTCGTTTTGAAAAAGTTTTCCATTATACTTCAACTGATTAATTTGTATGTCATTCTGTGTTTTAACTACATTGATAGGCAGATATTTAATCTCTTGCCAAAACTCTATCGAGGAACGTATATTAGAGAATTGTCTGTCATAGTAATCTACCTCTTCTTTCCTAATTTTATTTCTAATATCCTTGGATAGCCTTCTCACTTCCGTTAATATTCTTGCACATCGATCTCCTGAAATACGACACTTGTTTAGTTATTTGAACAACCTCCTCTTCTAGCTAATTAACTTTATTGTATCACTTGAGATAATTTTTGCCAAAAATACCTTTCATTTTATCTTGATTTTCTTATTTACTTTTATAATGGAAAGATATTTATTAATAAAAATCTGCAGGATATCCTGAAAGTAATCTGCCAGTTGGTCAACAGAAAAATCTGAGGAATAATAGTAATCCCAAGCGAAACAAGCTGACAGTGCATTACATAAAAGATGTATTGACCTATTATTTATTTTCCTACGTGTTTTTGACAAATTACCACCTATTTCCGTATCTTTCCTTGGGAGAAAGAAAACTGTAGGCATATGATCTGACAATAAATCCTGGTGAATTAAAAATTCTGACTCACCAACATTGGTTAACCCGAAGTCAATCAAGGAGTATCTTTATCAAATCTGGTCGGTTGCCTTTGATCAGCCAAAAGTGATAAATTTTCAGAAAAGCAAAAGTTTAATAAGTCACAAGTACTTAAACAACCAAAATTGACCACAATCAAAATTTTATTGACAGTTATTGTCATCGCATCTATGTACTGTACTCTTTAGTAAATGTCAAATCGGATATTACATCATAAATCAAATCCTTATTTATATACAAAATTATACCTCCATGTTGGTTAGGTTGTCTTTCGATTTTTTCCATATTAAAATTATTTATTTTAAATGGGAGGTTGGTTTCATTAGTCCATGTCTCACAAAAGCCAGTATTCCAAAATTACAATCGTATCCAGAAATAATATGATTTATCTCCTCATATTTATTATTTAAACATCTTAAATTACTATGAAATATATAGAGTCCATCCCTATTAAAATTAATTGTCTTATTATGTTTTAATAGATCTTCCATCGGGAAATAAACTCTAGATATACTCTAACGTAGACACTCATGAAAGTGGAAAGATTGCATTAATCTTTATGTAAATTATACCACTTTTAGTCCAAGTATTTAATATTTTTCCCTCCTTCTTTAAAACTCTAGTTTTATAAAAAAAATTTCTATCATATGGTATAAGATGATCATTTATATAAATTTTATGTTCTTCATTAATTATATTACATGCACTAGAATTAATTTTGAGTTTATTCTCTTTAATTTTATAAATAATTCTTTGCTTTGATGTAATTTTAGCTAATTTCACTATAATCTGCTTTCATTGAATTTCTTTCACTTGGAAGGAGTTTATGCCTATAGGCATTTACAATAGATAATTTATCAAATATATTATCCACAAATCTCATGACTTTATAAACAATATCAATTAAATTTTCATTTAACAAAGTAGGAAGTCCAGCAATTTCTCATCTTGTATTATTAACATCTTGCTGTATAGACCTTAATTTNTATTATATATATTTGCATGTATACATGTATATTTTTATAATAAAAATTGTTATATTTGTATGTGTGGTGGTGGTTTTGTTGTTCTATAAAATATTTTAGCATCAAAAATTGTTTATTGGGAATTTGAATGTCTTTTTAAATGAGAAAAATGAGAACACACACTTTCATATAAGTAAATATTCAATGTTTCTTATCAGTTTCTAATAAAGACGGGAATGTTATCAATGGTTAGTTATGCACGATTGTATTATTGATCTTAGTATAGCTGCACTTCTAAAACATACATTACAGATATTTTCTGTCTCTGGGCTGTTTAAATCTGGACTTCTTGCAGGTTGGTGCAGAACATTTATGTTGGATGATGACTGGATGGCTTTCAGACTGTATTGAGGCATTATCCTGATGATGTAGCCATTTTTTGCAGCTAAATTGGGCACTTTATGCATTGGAGAAAGATATACTGAAGGTCCTCAGATAAGCATTGCTGTTAATCAGAAGAATAACAGCAATGCTTATCTGAGCAATGCTTATCAACCTTAACTTTGAGGTTTCCCATTGAAGTGACCACTCCTAAAATCATAATGCTTCCTCCATGATGGTGATACATTGATGATTGGGTGTAGTGTAATTATTTCTGAATACATATGAGAAAAAGTGATTTTCCTCTTGATCATCTGGATAACTTTTTTAATCTGAAAGACTACCACAAAATGTCACAAGTTCTCCACCCATGGTGTAGGAAAACCAAGTTAATAACTACCATTAACCTTTTTCTAGTTCAAAGTATATATGTTATACTAAATAATATTAGTTAATGGTGATGTCCCTTCCATTTAACTGATAATATTTTGTTCAAACTTTCTGAAAATAAGTTTAGCTGATTTTTGTATTCGAAATTTCAGGATGTTTCAAGGATGTGTAACATATGAAAAGTACTATGATCTTACATTTTATAGTTACATTAAGGAATTTTGTTTTTAAAATGCCAAAACATACATGAATAAGTATTCTTTTGGCTATCAAGCAAAAGAGAATTATAAATTCCAATGCCTTTTTATATTCTCATTTGGCCAAAAAGCACAAGATTCAGTAAAAACAATTCTTAAATTTCAATCAGCAAAATTATTTATTAACATAACATTATTTCCAGAATTATAGTGGATAAGATTCAGAAAAATTATCAGAAAATAGAAACTGCAGTCTTAAAATGAAGTATATAGTGAAATTTAACAATTGGCATGCAGTATAACTTTCTTCAAGACAAAAATTACACATTAAGAGTTTTTTTTGGGGGGGCACTAAGAGGGCCTCTTTTTGCAAGCCCATTATGGGTTCGGCCAGGCCCACAATGGGGCTGCCGGGCAGTGAAGGACGGGGCCCGACATATCCGAACGGACCATTCCCCGAAAAATTCCTGGGGATTTTTCGACCCGTTTGGATTCGAACCCGGGTCCCCCAGAGCGGTAGGCTGCCACCTTGACCGCTCGGCCGTCCAGCCGCAAAAAGATCCGGCTGACAGTGTTTAGAACCAGTTCTCATCTTCTGCATCAAGACTGCAGTTGAATTTTTCAACTACAGGTATTCATCAACTCGCGAACCACCGTAAACTCGAGGCCTCTCAGAGCGGGAAGAGGCCTTTTCTGCCAAAAAAACCCCACTGTAAACTCTTTCTCGAGAAACGCGGACATGTCGATTTATTATTATCACTAACGATTTATTATACTCATTAACGATATAAACTGTATACAATGTATTTTCCTTTACAAATAAACGATTGTTGAGTTAAATCAACATCCGATCCGAGTGATTCACTTCCGGTACGCCGTCTCTCAACTCTCCTCCATCTTGAATCCGATCGCTCGCGTGACCGAATCAACCGACCCTCCGGTCACAAATGCATTTATTATAAAGGAGACAAGCAAAAATTTATATAAAAAACACAAATATTTGTTTTATTTCGGTCTCTAATTAATAAAAACAAAACGAAGAAACATCATTTTAAAGTGCATTTTTATTCAAATAATATACTGTATTTATAAATAATATGTAGCCCAAAAAGTAGCCAACGCGCCATATGATATTTTTTTCGCCAATCTAAAAAAGGTTGCCAAATTTGGTGCAAAGTAGTTAATTAAATCTGAATGACCTTGGTTAAATCTGGCAACGTTAACTCAACCTCTCGGCCATACGACCTCTACCGTAAAATTTAAAAAAATAAAATTTAAATTTTTTAAAATGTAAAATATTTTAACGAGATAGTAAAATTATTTAAATATACGATTTTAAAAAACGAAGTAGATAGGCTTTTAAAATTAGCATATAAAAGAAATATAATTGTATGTTTTTAAAAAACAACATGTACAGTAATATGTTTACAACGTGTCACGTGTTGCACTTTTCCGCGAACTTGATAAGTAGTTAAATCGAAAGTATATGGAAACTGGAACTTCGTTGTCTTTTATAGAATCAAAATAGAAATATAAAATGTTTGGTTCGAAGAGAAAACTTTATAATTACTATTTCCGATGTCTTCCGATAGCGAAAAACATCAACTATAAAGACCTTCCCGTTTCGTTAAGTGCGAAAATAGAAGAATTAATCTATAATGAAAGTAATCGAATATCGCAACTGAAGAATTTAATGGCAAAACTCAAAATTACTAAGGTTAAAGAAGTTCCGGTAAGCTTACAATTGGTAAAAATTGTTAACCGTTTTAGTTATTTATGTGATTTAATTCACTCGTGTTGCGTGTACTATAGGGCGCCGCGCTGCGTTGCGTCGCGTCGCGTCGCCTTCTGTCGCATCGCGGATTATTTATATTTTAATTACAAATGAAGTATGATTTTTAATAATTATGAATTTTCGAAGTATCTTAATTAATATTAAGTTAGGAAATGTTTTATGTTTGAAAACTTCGATAAAAATTAATAATATTTATTTTATCTTCAAAAATCAATGGTAAAATTGCAGTTTGATCACATGCAGATCAGCCTTTCTTTTGGTAAGATTGAACTCTAAATGACGGATTTTCCACCCCAGAGTTATAGACCCCCTGTATCGGCAAAAGTGTTAATGGAATAGTACTTGCGCATTCGACCCTTTGCGAGATAATCCCTCCAAAGGTTGGTATGTACCGTTACCGGTACTACTGCCAGTTCTCCGTGCTCTGCGTGTAGTTGTGCTCTACGTTCCGCACTCTCGCTTGCACCTTGGTGCCCGTGTGGGGGCGAGTCCACGTACCCTCTAAAACTATGTGTCTAGTACCCCGCAGACAGTCGAATGGATTACTCGAAGCCGGCGTAGTCACATGGGATAAATAGTTAAATGCAATAGTCTTAGTGGAGTGATGCGACTTCTGATTACCTACGACCCAGAAGTGGCTGATTTCAGGGGCCCTTATTTCATGGCTGCTATGTTTACCTATTTTAAATCAATAATATATTGATACTTTCTGTGGCTTCTAAATTTGAAATCCTAGGTCAGTGTGTAAATAAATGTCACTTACATAAATTGTTCTTTCAAACACCATAACCGTGTATTTCTATTAATAGGACTTATTATACTGGTGTATAGAATTATAGCAACACAGTCACACAGATTAAAATTGGTTTATTTATGATTACCTGTCACTTACATAAATTCTTTAAAGTAATTGTTTTTAAATCTGATACATAAACCACAGTTTTGAAATCAAAAATAATAACTTGTTATTATTTACATTTAGATTTAGAAATATTTGAAAGTTGTGATCTTATTTATTTATTTATTTATTTTAACCAAACCACACTATGGCCATTGGCCTTTTCAAGTGTCAAAAAAAAAAAAAAAAAATACATATACAAAAAAACAATCGACAAAACGACAAAAAAGAAGAGCGAAAAGAAAAAATACATGAAACTAAACATTGTTCAATTTTTTAACAACTTGTTTAAATTGTCTATAAGTTCTCAGATCTTTATATTGTTCTTTTAAAGCATTCCAGTTATATATAAATTGGTAGATTGGTGCGTCTCAGCCAAAACAGTGCTTAACTTTTGGTAAAATCAAATTATTTTTCCATTGTTAATTGTAGTTAGAAGGCCTAGAGTGTTTGTAATTGTAAAAGCCTTACTGTCCTTTTAAATTCTAATGTTATTGTTAATTATCTACTTGGACGTGTAATATGTGTACAGAAACTATTACTACAGGTGATGTAATAAAGAAATTTTGTTCTTTCCTGAACTAACTCTCATTGCTGTGTCAATCTTTAAACACCAGTATTAAGTTCTATTAATAAGTAAAGTCCAAGTAGACAATTAACAATAAGCCTAGAGTGTTTATTTAACTCATCACTTATATAAGATTCTTTCCTGCCAACCTTTATTAGTTTAAAGCTCTCTAAAAGAACTTGTTTTTTATATAAAACTTTTAATTTGTCGATATTGGTCTGATTATAATAAGAGGTATTTATTAGTGATGTAACGAATATTCGGTTACTATTCGGTATTCGGCCTATTCAGCCTATTTTTCACTATTCGGCCGAATACCGAATACCTAAAAACAGGAGTAATAAATAACAAAAACACAGTAAATTAATCATTTTGGTACTTAGATTTAATGTTATCGAGTTAGTGTTGTTTGTTTATATTTATTTATAACTTGAAACATGCACAAAATAAAAAAGAAAATAATATTAGTCACATGTATTCACAATTTATAATTACAAAGATCAGCACTCGTACACACCTATTCGTTCGAGAATCGTCGCACATCTGAGTGTCTGACCCTGCCTATCCTTCTTTTTAAGCGCTCGTCTTTGCTCTTACCTCTATCGCTCTAATCCATGTATGCCTGTGCACCTGTGCATACATCATAATACACGCTCACGATACTTTCGATTCATCACTTTTCTGTCGTAGAGTTCCCATTTTACAATTACGTGACTCAGCCTGATGATAACAGAGAAAAGAGACAGATAGGACGTCCATATAAGTCACAGTTATAATTTCACAGATTCGAGACAGCTTGGTAGCCCGAACGGCCCCAGGCTTTCGCCCGTGCACGCTAAGTGACTTTCATTACAAGCATTTAGCTTTCCGAAGTCTATGACAACAATTGTTTGGCATTGACGGCCGCGAATTTCGCGCCAATAAGCTGCCTCGACTTGTTCGATTATGTTATCAACTCAATTTCATATTTATTTTCACATTTTCACTTCGCGGTCCTTCTCTGTTCTTTTTCCGTTATTTACACGTGTAGGTCATTTCATTGTTATCCACATTTGATATCATCATTTATCACATACTTCCATGACACTCTTGTCTGTCGGCTACAACTGCCAAGAATTAATGTGATTGGCGAAGCGTAGTGACAGCGGGCCAAAAGAGAGCAGGATCCTTGCCATAATGTGGTTTGCGCGCCAATTTTTGTAGTGCATTAATCAAGCCGAATGTTTGGCCGAATAGCCGAATATTCGGCCACGCTCCTGGACGAATATTCGGTATTCGGCCTGAGGCCGAATATACTATTCGTTACAACACTAGTATTTATTATAAGAAGAATTATAAGATAACTTATATAATGTTCTAATAAAGTTGTTTTATATGACTTGCAACGTATTCAATACTAAAGAAGCTTTGAAGCTGTACCCCATACGGAAATATCATATCGAAGTTTGGGTTCCATACAAGTGTGATATAAATGCAAAACAGTTTCAAAATTTATGTAACTCATTATTCTTTTCAATATTCCAATAAGTTTAGATAAAGACAGTTAGATTATTTATATGATTGTTCCATCGTAATTTATCATCAATTTCAATACACAAATATTTTACAGTATTAACTCTTTGAATACGTTTATTATTAATTCTTATTTGTATATCATGTAAATTGACTTTTTTGTTTTTATTTGACAAACTAATATATTTTGTTTTTTTTTTCTCATTTATTCTAAAGTTATTATTTGCCATGTATTTACTTGATTTAGTCAGCAATCAATTTATATTATTTTCAATTAATTGAAGATTCCAATCTACATAGGTTATAACAATATCATCTGCATACAATATATTATTATTTTCAGGAATAGTTTCTATGATATCATTTATGTAAATATTAAAAAGTAAAGGGCCCAGAATGGATCCCTATGGAACATCTTTGTTCACTTGAAAAGGTTTAGATATTGAATTTTTTACCTTAACATAGTACATATACGATTTGATAAATAGGATATCAGCCACTCCAATGGCACTCCTCTTAATCCGACTTTAAATAATTTTTGTTTTAATATCTTGATATCTATGCTATCAAAAGCCTTAGTCAGGTCGATAAACACTGCTTTTACTATATTTGAATTATCGAGACCGTCAATAATGTATAGTTTAGGATGAGTTAATGCATCAATTGTAAAGGCCTCTCTTTTAAAACCATACTGGTTATTAGATATAATACTGTATTATATTTATTAACAAATCCAAAAAATCTTTTATAGAAAGCCATTTCAATTATTTTAGTTATACTCTGAATGATAGTCATTGGACGATAGCTCTCCAAATCCTGTTTAGATCCTTTATTTTTAAATATTGGTATTACAAGATTGTGTTTGAGCTTCTCCAGAAACCTCCCATACTCAAAGGATTTATTAATTAAATAAGATAATGGTAATATCTACTATTTGTCTTAGAATAAATATATTTAAATTATCAACAATCTGGAGTATTAGCTTTTACCCTCATAATATAATCAAAAATCTTTTTAGGAGAAGTTCCATCCAAAACAAAAGAATTGACCATACCACACAAAGAGGAATATGAGAAAGAATTAGTTTTTAATGTTGATGTGACAAAACCCCTCCCTCTGTCTATAGTGATCAGCAAAAATATTACTTATTTTTTCTTCGTTTTGAAAAAGTTTTCCATTATACTTCAACTGATTAATTTGTATGTCATTCTGTGTTTTAACTACATTGATAGGCAGATATTTAATCTCTTGCCAAAACTCTATCGAGGAACGTATATTAGAGAATTGTCTGTCATAGTAATCTACCTCTTCTTTCCTAATTTTATTTCTAATATCCTTGGATAGCCTTCTCACTTCCGTTAATATTCTTGCACATCGATCTCCTGAAATACGACACTTGTTTAGTTATTTGAACAACCTCCTCTTCTAGCTAATTAACTTTATTGTATCACTTGAGATAATTTTTGCCAAAAATACCTTTCATTTTATCTTGATTTTCTTATTTACTTTTATAATGGAAAGATATTTATTAATAAAAATCTGCAGGATATCCTGAAAGTAATCTGCCAGTTGGTCAACAGAAAAATCTGAGGAATAATAGTAATCCCAAGCGAAACAAGCTGACAGTGCATTACATAAAAGATGTATTGACCTATTATTTATTTTCCTACGTGTTTTTGACAAATTACCACCTATTTCCGTATCTTTCCTTGGGAGAAAGAAAACTGTAGGCATATGATCTGACAATAAATCCTGGTGAATTAAAAATTCTGACTCACCAACATTGGTTAACCCGAAGTCAATCAAGGAGTATCTTTATCAAATCTGGTCGGTTGCCTTTGATCAGCCAAAAGTGATAAATTTTCAGAAAAGCAAAAGTTTAATAAGTCACAAGTACTTAAACAACCAAAATTGACCACAATCAAAATTTTATTGACAGTTATTGTCATCGCATCTATG